GATTCTACTTCGAACCCTCAATGTAGATTTCAAATAAGACAAAATGGGTCTGCCTACAGTCGTACAAATGCAGTACGTATTGAACAGAAACTTCAATTTTTCTATGCTTGGGATAAGCACTAAAGAGTTACATTAACAATAAGCAAAAGCATCATTATGTTCCTTCTTTTCTCGTGACAAACATGTTTCACATTTAATGCCACTTGTGTTACCATTTTTAAGGCTCTGTGAAATCGGAGTACTAGTATATATGATGTTTGCACTAAGCAATTCATTTTCAAAACAAAATATGTGTTATTAGGTTGTAAAGATATTAGATATAGGAGCAACAGTGACTTAACTATGAAAGCTTCAAACCATAGGCAGCTGTTTTGACAAGGTGACATTGCCATTACACTCTAAGAAAATATCGAGGAAAAAGGGTGTCTTTTTGTCCCACAACAATAATCGTCATCAGTCTTGCGTGCGCTTACTTTCTTGAAAACTCGGCGCTGGCCACTTTCCTAACGAGAATCCAATGTAACCTTGATAATGGGCATGTCGATCGTGACCGGAACTGTATCGGGCATGGGGCGATAGCACAAGGATGGAACGCAATATAGATGACGATTATTGTGTGGGACAAAAAGGCACCATTTTTACTCGCTCTTTTTTTTTTAGAGTGTATACAAAGACAGGTATCATTGTCAGAACTTCCTACATTTTCTTTAAACGGAACATTTGTGATAACTAGCTGTTTCATCATGCAGGTTACATTGCAGCTATTGTTGTAGCTTTCATAATAAACAAATGCACATGACTCAAGCCAGTCAAAGGGTTCGCCTCTGCACTACAGTGTGTATTTTCATTGTGTGACCCTACTTAGCACATGCAGGCTTCGTAGTCAGTTATGATTGAACAGGTTTACGCTGTAAGGTAATGCCACACTGTCAGAAAAAATGTGTGTAGGTGTATCTCTGGAGCACTTAAAATCTGGACAATGTCTAGCACTACATGCTTTTCACTGGGTATCTTTACAATCTGGAGATTTTACTGATATAAAGGTAAATTATCAATTCTTATGCCCCCCCCCCCTTGTTCTCATCAATACTGTAAGATCTGTTCATTTCATGGTTTTCTTGGTTTTCCACCCTCAATAACATTGTTTTCTGCTGTCCCCTGCTGCAGGTTTTCCATACAAGCTTCACGCCACTGGAGTGGACTCTGCCGAAACGTGGAACGGATGTTGGTTACTTGAAAATTGTGTGCCTCATCCCTGAAAAAGTGAGTTCGAAGTACATTTGTATCCTACGTGGAGCAACGTGTGGATTTATTACCACGCACCCAGCATGCCCTCTATCGGCGTGATACAGCGTTCTCAATAGGGAAGTGGCCAGTGCCACTTTCAGGCAGACTGGTATCTCTTATACCCACTTCTCTCTTATCAGTCTCTTAAAAAAGGGGTTTCCACTGTATACGGCTGTAATATTCCTCACTTAAGACATTATAAAAGTTGCATGCAGCGTTACTGGAGTGAATTAACACTAAATAAAATCTATGTTGAGGATTTCACTTATTACAGTTGTCAGTGAAAGTTCGCGATTCTTGCCGAGATGTTTCCTAATGAGATCGAAGGCGCAATTCGATGTATCACTTGCCATAAAATGGGGCTTTGAAGCTGCAATCAGAAACAGGGATAATTACTTTCTCTAAATTTGAGCTACGGTTATTTCATTATTAATTCATCTTCTAAGGCTAGTGCTGTCGGAGCTCTAGCATGATGCAACATGCTTGTACCTTTCTGATGTTCTAAGGACGCATGGTTGGCATTCTTACTCTTACTTGCTAATCTCAATGAGGTATTAGTTTTCATTGTATACTTTCTCAGATCACCCAGATTCTCAGATGTAGGTGAACAAAGCTTATGTCTTGCACAGCGGCAGAAAAAAGCTTTAATGTGGTATAGACCTCTACTACTTGTAGGCCTTTGGGCTTCAAAATCCATTCCCGTTGTTCATTCATGGCAAATCGCAAACCGTGAAGTGTTGTTCAAGCCCTTAATGGGGCATTGTCTTGTACAATAAGTTGCTGAATCCTCGCCTGTTATAGTCCTTCTCACACGTTTACTTATCATTATTAATAGAATACCTCGAATGAGTAAACATACAAATGAGTCTTTTTTTGTCTGTGTCGATTTCCTGACATCACAATCCAGAGCAGCCAACAACCATGTTTTCATTTACCTTGAGGAATGTAGCAGTATTTTTTTTTTTTTTTCGATGTTCCACAATTTTAGAATCGCATTCTTGGCTTCCACTACCTGGGGCCCAACGCTGGCGAGGTGACTCAGGGCTTTGCTACTGCTATGAAGCTGAACGCCACAAAAGCAGACTTGGATGCCACCATCGGAATTCACCCAACGTGTGCTGAGGTAGGGCTATTCCGTCGCACCTTCTTGTGGGCTTGGCCTCGCTGCACACAAGCGGTGTTGTCGTGTATACGCATGTAGACAGTGATTTCGAAATGGTCATATGTAGGGATGTGTGCTGCAGGCCATGCAAGGCTGCATAATTGCATCCAAACATTTGTTTGCTATGGTGTGTGGCACATAAAGTTACTTTTGAAGCTGCTTATTGAAGCTCTATGATGTATTTTTTGTTCCCCCCTCTTCACAGCTCTTCACGACCCTGACTGTGAGCAAGAGGTCCGGGGCCAGCACCAAGCAGGGTGGATGCTGAGGTTAAGCCCCGTCGCCAAAGCATGTGGCCGCCTGCCTGTCTGTCGAGGCACAGCACACATAGTAACACCCTCCGTGTAGGATTTTAACTGCAAGCTGTTTTAAACTCCCCGTGTTGCTTGCGCCCAAACTCACTGTGCCGCTTGCACGCGCCGACACTGGCCAAGCACAAGTGGCAGGCAGGCAGGCGTGGCCCCCTTTGGCGATGGGATGGAACCCTTCCGCACACAATGAGGAACGAGCTCGTCGGCTCCACGGAATCGTGCGACCTTATGACGGCAGTGCCGCAAAACTCAACTTCTGAGAGCGACCTGCCCGATGCCGTCGACGTGGCTCTTCCTGCTCGCTCAAGCATGACGTTGCTAATTTCATTGTGGAAATTTCTTTTAATTAAATGCTGTACTTTGTTGCGCTTTTCATTAAAGAGTATTTATTTAAGCATAAACGTGGGTGTGTTGTTCGTTCATTTCAAGTAGCAGTGTACAAAACTCTGTGTACCGGACCACCAGGTGGAAATGCATGTAGTGTGCATCTGTATGTGTCGGATATAGCCGACCAAATCGTGCGCAGCGGCACAGGGCGGCACTTTGCAACTTTTTCGCAATCCTTCTTTGCAACTTCTTTGAAACTTTGCAAGCTTGAACTAGTTTTCGCTTGCAAGCTAGTTATCCTTACATATGATTTCGCTTTGTCAGCCCAACCAGGACTCTTAGTGCCTGCACACACTGGTCAACATACATGTTTCATTTCTCTTTAATTAAACATTCTGTTAAATGTAAGTGCATCGTCTCGTCACTTCCTTTGTCTTTTTCGTGTAAATGAGAACAAACAATGCCAAAGAAAGCATGTCTGATGGTGTTAAAAGTACTGCAAATGTGAACATGAGAAATTGGGTCAAAAGAGAACTTGCCACCGGCTGGGGCTGAAGCTGCGATTTTCGAACTTGAAAGTTGCAGGTTCGGTGCAAGTTTTTTTTTGTCCACTTGTATTTCTTTTAATTTACATTACTTCTATTAACATTCCCCATACTTTCCTTGGTATCATTGTCTTTTAGTATTTCTATTGCCACCTACAAGCCCGTTCTCACATCTTGTTAAATATTACCGAGAAGTTCCCACGTATGCTCAAAATTTTCATTTTCCAGCAGTGCCAAACCGTATCAAGTGAGGAGCACTCCAATGAGCCTTGTGAGAAATCATTTGCGTTTTCTTCAAGCTTGATGAGGATATTAAGTGTGAGCACTACTGTGGTATTAAGTGTGGTTATTAATCGTGGTAGTGATGCACAATATTGTAGTATGGTAGTGATGCTCAGAATATGCATATACTGTCATTCGAAAAGCAATCTGCTTATAGAAACAGTTACTTTCGTTTGCATACAGAATGGGAAAGTGTTTGAATTGAAGTGAGGAGCCAAATGCACTATTAAACTATGGCAGATATTGCGTGTGGAGCTGAAAAGAACAAGTCAGAATTTTGACAATGCTAATGAAAAGGGGACAAGATAGTGACATGAAGCTTGCTTTGTTTCAGAGGTCAAGGAATTGTTCTTGAAGCTGCACTGCATATGAGGGTGCATAATTATCGCCGTTAATTCCTGCTTGAGTGAATGCACTCTTCATATGCCACCTAAACTGCAGATACTGTTGAACTCTGATTCGATGTAGTCTTGAATTGGTTTTGAATGTCATGTGTAGTAGCTTCAGAGTAAATTACTACTGCACTTATTCAACTGGACTAGGGAGGTTAGTTAGTCTTGTAACTGCACGAAGTAGAATTGTATGATTTTGCTCGCCGATTTATACCGAACAGAGGCGTAGAACAGAGATGTAAAATGGGAATACAGTTTTGTGTGATGTGCTTGGATATTGCACAAAAATGCCCACGAGAAAAAAAAAAAATGCAGTCCATAAATGGCAGTGCGCAGCGGCATGCATCAAAGGAGTACCCGCTTCAAACATGGATATTTAGACAAGTTCCCGCTCAGAAAAGATATCTGTCAAGTGAAGCGCCAGAGATTAACATAGCTTACATATTTACAATGCCATTTACAAGACCTGCGCATCGTTAAGCGCTGAAGTCAAGACAAAAACAAAACCGAAACCGCATTGCAAAATTCAGACAAAATATGTATTGTTTGTGTCATCGTGGATGTTGCAAGTTGCATTGCTTCATGCCATCAATACCGTTTTTATTTTAAAAAAGTTTATTCAGTTTTTTGTGTTTTGTTACTTTTTAAATGTTTTCTTTAAATTATTGAGTACACAACTGCGGCTGGCCGCTTCACGGCCGATTCCACATAATTCGACGCGAAGAAACATGGGTGACTCGTCGGCAGCAGAAGGTGAGAAACCTGACGATTTTTTTATCATTAGTCTGTCACTTTAGCGTTTCGACATCACTTGAGGTTTGGGAATGACAGCGCATGCTAGGGACTTGCGTTTGGTTTACAGTTTGTAAGAGGTGTGTTTCGGTGTAAGCCGGGAATATTTTTAGGAGGCGAGCTTTTGGTTTGAGCGTAGTGTGCGCATCTAATCTCATTTATGTTCTGCTACACGTCATTGCAGCCATACGATGCGCATGTTGTCGAGCTTGCCTTGAGCGCCGACAGTGTGGAATGTGCTACCCAGTGCGGTTTTATGCGCCCTGCGAATACTGGCCACGTGTGATTCTATTCTCGTCCCGAGTTCAATGAAGTTCACCGCAGTAATCGCCATATGCTCCTGGCGCTAAAAGGCTGGCGTACACAGAGAGCGTGATCGTAACTGCTAATAGCGGCCTTTGTATTCTGAATCTTGGCTGATTGATCGTCACAAGTGGCTTGAAAAGTGATGTATTGATCGCCGCTTGTCGCGACGAAGACGTGTCCCTTTTGTCATCTCGGTGTTTTAAATGTCACATTAACTGTACTCTTAACTCCGAAGCAGCAAATTTTGCACAGCTGGGCTCACTTCCCAATGAAGCGCTATATTAAGTCCTAACCTGCTGTAAATTATCATATCTCCTTAAGCTGTCCTAAAGCAAGACTTTAACTATCATGCTTAACAAGCTCGGGAGGTGGTGTAAGCTGCTTTTTCATTATTTCACTTAATATATGTTGCTTTTGGGCACGAAAGAAGTCTATGCAAGAAATAATGGTACAAATACAAAAGGATAAACATGTGCGACTTCATCTCGGCAGGTTGCACATTATCTTGGTAAACCTACTACCCTAAAATCGCAAGCAAGTGCTTTCCTACGGTTAAGGATAATCTGACTAAAGAGGGGAGGGCCTTTGCTCGGTCATGGATCGACATTCAAGATGCGGTAGAAGAGCTGCTATGAACAAAATGCAGAAGTGCTTCACACGAAGTGTTTTATTGAATGTGTGCCTATTCACTGCTTTCATTAGTCCTTGTCAGTCAAATAAAAACAGTGACAGAAACAGTGAAAATGTTGGGAGGGGAGAATGGGACACGTATTTCAAATCTCCCAAAGAGCTGGGGGGTGGGGGGGCGCTTGCCTAGGAGTTTACATTAGTTGTACAAAGTTTTTTCAGTGAAGTGAGTGGTGCATTTAAGCTCATGATTTCCTGCCTAGGTAGCATTTTTGGACATGTTTTGTTCTTGTTCTTTTATTTTTAATTTTGCCATGTTACTAACTATATCGGTTGTGTAAAATATGCAGAAGCAACTTTAGAGCAAGTGAAGCGGGTCTTAAAGTATTCTGTGAACTGCTGAATAAAGCAAACTTTTTCAGGGCCGTTTATGCTAGTGTTAAAATTGGGTGCACCAGCAGAAATGGTTCCTCAAAATAGTTGTCTAGGTCAGCAGATAGTTGGGGTGCTATAAAAGCTTCTTGGGTTCCTCATTTTGCTGTGGTCTACATTACACATGCCACTCTTGTAGAAATTGCGTTTGTGAATTTTGTCACAAAAGTGGTATGAAATCTGCTGCGATGTCACAGGTCAATAGTTGACATATTGCAACATCGCTCGGCCCTAACTGCATTAGTGAAGGTACAGCTTCAACATGTTTCATCATATGCCAGTGACCTTTAGAGTTTCTGTTGCATCTGTAGCTTGCTTTATGTCATCAGGGCTAACACTAAACATTATGCAGCCTAGAACTCAAGCTTAGAACACAGCTGTGAGCATTGCATTCACAAAATTTAGACTTTGTAGTAGAATGCGAGCTTCTAGAATCATAGTCAAAGAAGAGAGAATGGTAAGGGAAGACTTGGACTTGAAGTAACGAGCAGCCATCAGACCAGAAATGTCACTGATGAAGACAAGTTGCCTTCTAAGAATGTTGCTACTGCATCATTTTATCACTCAGCAGTTTCTAATCGCTTCCTGATGTGACACTTCTGAATGCCCTTGCACATGTGATGAAAACATCACTTGTGGAGAAAAACAATATTATATACACTTGGGCAAACTCTTTATTGATAATAGAAGAGTGCAAGCTCAGTATAGAACACTATACTCAGGAACAACTTTTAGTGGCAGTGCTGTGGAATCTACAGAACCAGAATTCAATGCCTGCTAGAGCACCAAGAAAGGGTACTTAACCGTACTGATAATTTTCTCAGTTTCCTCACTCAAATAAGTACTACATTACTTATTTTGAGACTTGAACAGTTCTGGAATATAGTAGGTAAAATGAAAATATTATTCACTCTACAGAAATGTCTTCCATTTTTTCCCAATTTTCTAGACAACACCACATTTTCTGCATGCCTGTTTTCCAAAGCAAACATGGTGTCCTTAACATGTGTTGGTCCATGGGCAACTGCAGAATCGCCATTTACTTCTCATTGTATCGCCATCGGGGCACCATCTGACAGAGACAATGAGCGCGTTAGCGCCAGAGCGTTGTGAAGAACGTCACGCTAGGCCTAGAGTCGGGAGGGGGACTGTTTATTCAGAGAGCGCGCATTGGTGCGTAGCGTTGGTTCACAACACCGCATAGCGCCATGTGACTCATCCCATCGAAACCAAAACTGATCAAAGGTGCATGAAATGCACGACACAACAGTTCTCTAGAAAAAATTGGGAGACCCTTAAGCTTCGCTTTTAAGGGTAGAATGCGATAGCGATATTCTGTCCCTAGGGTGTACTTTAAACACTTGCAGCATGAAATCCTTTCAAACTTTGTATGCACCCACTACGTGGCTTTAATAAAAATTCTGCATCCTAGTGGGGATCGAAACCAGGTCGTTTGCGTGGCAAGTGGGTGTTCTACCACACAGCCATGTGTCTGCTTGTGAATACAGTGAAGATAACTTCATCTGTTTGGAAACACAACAAAAGTAACTTTCATGCTTTACAAACATGCCCGTCCTGTATACATGCTTGCAGTACAACATGAAGTATTGCAGTGATAATGTGTGGTACAAGCCTACATTGCCAATGGAATAGGCGTAGCAACCTGTGTGCCTTTTGTAGTTGGTGACTGGTTTTAAATCATGAAGTCATTATGATAATCACATGTTCTGACGCCCGATGGCAATGTTTCAGCTGCAAGCCTGTTGGCATCTGTTGACAAGGCGACAGGCGATGCCAAGGCGAACGGCCCAGCGTCAAGCGCCCTGAAGACTCTTACAAGCGTCTCGCTCACCGGTGACGGCAGCGGAAACTCGAGTGTAGAAGGTGGCGTGCTTGGCTCTGTGAACGGTAGTCCTGCAAAACGTCAGGATGCATCCGACTCAGAGAAGAGCCTTTCACTCCTCACAGCCAACGGCGAGGGAGACCAGTCCAAGACTGTATCGTCGCCGGAACACTTCTCTACCGCAGATGAAGGCGACATCGGCGAGGAAATGGCCGACCGTGACTCCGAAGATGACAGCTTTCTCTCAAGAGAGACGGGTAAAACTAACTTTCTAGATATCGATGTGTCGAACTAGGAATGTTTGTGAAGCCAGTGTATCAACAAAAGGACCACAGATGCCTCCATCTTTCTTCCCTTGTACTGCTTTGTTTGGAACTCTTAATTAAGTGTATGACACGCATATCAGAAACAATGCTTAAGTTGGACTGTGGTTTAACTGTGTTACAGCTATTATGCAAGCAGCCTTGTGAAGTAGTGTGGCTACACTCTTCACCGTGGGGGGTTTTTGCACCAAGAAGGTGCAACAATCCCCCATGGTGCAGGAAGAATTCATATTCATGACACCCCAACAAGAAGATATTCATATTCATTTTACTTTGTGCAGAGCCATTTCGAGTTTTTGCACACGTTAGAACGTTGCACATTTTACGTGCACCACACAGTCAAAATGGCGTCTTCGCAAGTGAGCACTTGTCTTCGTCTCTAAGTGAGCCATCAGCTATTCTGATGACTCGACCAAGGAGCTTGTGACGAATTTCCCTCACAAATGACCCTTTATGAAGACGTGGCAGCTTGTATGCAGTGTTATTATTCGAGCATGGCCGTAATTTGAAACACTAGCCGAACTGGACTGCTTCGCGGAGGTGTACATGTGCAATAGCCCCGCCCCCGCAGCTTTCTCTTTCACTGTCAAGAAAAGTTGTCCGCAAGTATAGACGGCTGCATGTCTTTAGCGATAAAGAACAGTCAGCATTTTTTTCCTTGACATTGCAGCATCAATAAAATCTACCCTCATCACTTTACTGTCGTCTAATACAATGGTACGAAAGTCCTTGAATTTACCTTCCACTGTTCTGGGTGCAGAAGATGTACAGTCCGAGACTGAATCGGAAGACGCCGGTGAAGGCTTGGAGCTAAGAAACCTTGACGGTGGCTCCTGGCACAGAATGGCTGTAAAGAGGGTTCGCAAGGAGAACCCTGAGCTCCCTGAAACCGTGACTGTGTTGAAGACGCAAGAAGGCTCCGTGGTATATCTTGTGGGGACAGCACACTTCAGCCTCGAAAGCCAGGAAGATGTGGCGAAAGTAGGTTTATGTCAGTCCTGTAATGAGGCAGGCCGGTTAATTGAATTTGGTTTGATGTAGGTTTTTGCATTGCATCAAAAGCGTTGTAGGCTGACTGAAACTGAGAACATTGTTTGAGATTACCTGAAATTGTCACTTATCTGAGGAATTTCTCTAGGCATAGTTCAATTGAACTCGAAAGTAATAATAAATTGAATGACAGTAAAATCTTAAAACAATAGATAACAGCAATTTTGCATCGGTCCTTCGTGTTAGCTACAGATTGTAGTTGTAGAGTGTATTCCTTGCCTTCAGAGTAGTTCTTAAATGCAGTTAAAAATAGCAGCTGCTTTTTGAAAGCTACCAACGATAGTGCACAACGTTTAACAGTAAGGTCTCTTGCAAAGCATTAACTGTCACCTTGTTTCACGCATGTGCTCTTTTATTCCAGACAATCCAAGAGACTCAGCCAGATGTTCTTTTGATAGAACTCTGCAAGAGTCGCCTAAATATACTGTCCTTCAACGAGGAAGTTATTCTCAGGGAGTCCCAGAGCATGAACATGGAGAAAATGGTGACGACAATCAAGCAGGTTAGTGTCTGACTACTTTTTTAGCAGCCAGTTGATCTAAAACAGCTTAATTTTGTCTGGTTTGTTGTTTGTTTTTCGGTACATAGCTTGTTTTGATAATGCTATAACTTTTTTTCCATGCCCGGATCTCTTGATGCGGCATGAATAAGCAGTGTTAAAGATTAGAATTCATATCCCCTTCAGGCGCGAATTAAATCTGGCAACGTTGAAATTTTTTTTTGTTCATAATTTCATTATTTAAGCCTTTTAAAGTAAGAAACTCGAAACAAATGCAAAATATGTTTATTGGTTCAATTTTTGCTCAGCGTCCACATTTGTGGACATTGCGCCTCAAAGCAGTAATATTAGTGAAAGGCGACAAAGAAGAAAACACGCTTTCCATTTAAATTAAAAATAACTTCTTTCAAAGTAATGTTGGGAGAAGTTACCAGAAAAAGTCTATTTAGTGTGAAAGAAGTAGAATCAGTCATTCTCTGATGTCAGGCAAAGAAAAATGTCACACTTCCGGCAGCGGACGCGGCTCTTGGATGAGCATCCATCCCTCCTCCAGCGTTGTGCGTTGGGTATGTTCATTTGCTGTGGCCAGTGCTGGATGCCGTCATAGCGAAGAGTGCTCACTGGCAGGGGTGACGCATTGGGTGCCTTCCTTTTCATCACCTGGGGGTTCTCACAGCTTGGTCGCCCACGCTTTTTCTGGGGCTTGTTGACGCTCACCTGATGATGATGATGATGATGATGATGATGATCCTTGATAGTCTGGCGCACACCCACAAAGGGGGATCGGCCAAGAACCGGGCGGCAGGATCTTAACTAAAAGGCTAATAGTTTTTCAAACAGAATGTAATTTTGTGTTCTCTTCATTCTCTTCCTCCTTTTCGTCGTCCGAAATGTCTCCATCGGAAACATCTCCATTGGCTATTTTTTAAGGACGTCTTATGCTGTTTCACCGTCGACTTTTTGTCGTCTCGATGCATGATCTTGAACTCCTGGTGACAAAAATTATTAACGTAAACATCATTTGATGCTGCCGGAAGTGAAACACAGAGAAAAGCAGCCTTTCAACAAAGGAGGCACTGAAGCGCAGTGTCCACGTTCGTGGACGCGAAATTTAGCTGAACCTTTCTGTCATTACAAATGATTTCCTATTGCCAAAATATTGTTAAAAGGCATGCGGGATATCTTAGTTATTACTGACAAATGCAAAATTTCACGCCAGCTAAAAAGGTACGAAGTAAACGATAAAAACATCAGAGCCACTTACGCGTCCCGCCATAGAAAGTGGAGGCGTCCATTTTGACTTTTGTTTACGATGTTATTTTGAACCAGGTGCAAGAGATGGCGCCACGCGTTTTTGCAGCAAGATGCAGAGGTTGCGGGAGCCTTGTTTGCGCGCGAGATTCAAGACCCATTTTCGAAACACCTAGGTGTGAACTTGGCGTCCACAAATGTGGACGTTGCGCCTGAAGGGGATATATACTGTCTAACCTTACGATAACATTAAGGTAGTTAAAGGAAAAATCATCTGTGTATATTCGTATTGTCACTTGAAGTTCACAGCATAAGGTCCTATAATGACTGTTTTCATGTCGAGGCTACCACAATTTAATTTGTACTAATTCAGGCATACATTTTAGGAAAGAGGCGTGCCAACCAAGAACTTCATTTCTGAAAGCACACATACAGTTCCTAATCTAAAGGAACCAATGAAGTTGTTACGAAGAGGGTAATGTTCATTTTTGTAATGCAGGGCAGGCATGGATTTTCATATTTGATTTCCTGTTTGTAGTCGGGGGGGGGGGGGGGGGGGGGAATGGACCAAACGGCTAGGTCCTGTGTCATGTCTAACCATAGTAAAATCGCTAGGAGTACATTATTCTCTATAGTACTAGCAATTGCATTTGGTGAGGCAACACACAGCACAGAGTTGGAAAAGTGATATATAGTGGAGGGCGTAGTTCTCCTGAACAAGTTGTTTGCATCAGACAGTGAAGATATGCTTCGGTCAGTACCTCGCAGGAAGTAATGAGTATTGCGTGTGTAATAAGTGAATGTTGAAAGTACATGTACGGCTAATATAGTCAGTGGATCAGAGTAGTAGCAGTCTTGTTCTGAATGTCACATAAATGTGCAACGGTTTCTGTCCATGAATAGTATGTGCCTAAAACGCTCTCTCTTCTTCTCAGAACGGTCTCGTCCAGGGCATCATGTACATTCTCTTGCTCAGCATGTCTGCGCACCTTACACGACAACTAGGGATGGCACCCGGTGGAGAGTTTCGCAGGGCAGTGCAAGAGGCGAGTTTTTTGCACTTGCAACAGTGATTCTTTAGTGTTTATCTTTGACATGGTGCATGGAGCATTGTCCTGCGCACTGTGGGGTCTCCGCGAGGTGAACGAGCGCATCGCCACGCCACGCTCTTGGAGTGAACGGACACCGCAGACGCAGTCGGTACAGCACCCAACATGCATACATTTATTAACTAATTTCGACGACGATATCGTCCGCCGAATATACATCAATTTTGATTAACACGCTACCATACAAACAACATAACGCAGTGACACACTAAACACACAATAACATGATAAACACACACTAACACATACCCAAGGTGGCGTCGCCAACGCCTGACTTTCCACGTGGGACCCCGGCGCGAAGCCCGCGGTGCCGAGCACCGGGGACCCATGCTACAGACAACCGTTGGCGGCAGCCGCCACGCGCAGAAGAGGCTCGCTCAACTCTCGCCCACCACCAAGGCCCGCCTTCCGCCAGCGGCCACCGCCGGCGCTACCACTCTACCAACAGCGGTACTCAAAGCGAAACAACGTCATCTATCGCTCGGCGATGGTCACCACCGAAATAAAGCCTTGGGGCGAGACACGTGCGCCACGCGGCTCAGACAACTTTACAGGGGGGGGGGTGTCAGCACGTCCACATTCCCCCAACCTTAAATCAAACCATATCCCGAAATCAAAAATTAGCTACACAAGCTTTAACAAAAAAAATGATATCGCACGACCATAATGTCCTTGCACCACGACACCACCACTGGTCGACACTGCTGCACTGTCCGGCTAGGTTTGACCTCAGTACCAGCCCCGCAACAGCAACGTTGCCGTCGGCGCGACGATCCGTCGCTAGCGCCAACACGTCTTCCAATTGCGACCAGCACTCGCCCGGGCGCCGGACTGCAGGCAGTTGCGCAGGTCCCAGGCATCTCCATCGCCCGACCTCAGGACCGCATTCCTGGCCAGTGACGCTGACATTGTGCAGGACAGCCGGCCGTGGATGACATCCCTCCCCGCTGAATACATCAATAACAACAACAACAAAATTGAAAGAAAACAATCGAGCAGGTCCTCGGGAAGGGAGCTTCGAGCTTTTCGTCCACGTGGTACGTTGGTCAGTACTGCTAGCTAATACATCGGTGGCGGCCGAGACGCCCATCAAAATAAAACAAAAATCACTTTTCCTAACTCGTGCCCACAAGAAAAAAAAGTGAGGGAAGCAGAGCGCTACACCTCAACGCCACGATTCACCTAGTTGTGCCACGTGCGACAGGCGGCTGCGCAGAGCATTAGGCCTAATGAGTCGCTCGGCAACAACCGGCATCCACCGAGCACCCAGCCTAGGCGCAGAAGAGGCAGCCGCGAGGAGACGTCCACTCTGTGAAGTTGCCCTATCGCTCGCCGCACACAGCAGCTTACCGAGCGATCGGCGTCCACCGCCCCGGGTGGTGTCACGACGCCCGGCTCCCTGAGCCCAAAGATATAGAAGAAGCTATTTACAGAAAATCGGACCACCCACGAGGCTTCCGTACTCACTCGCTTCGGGCCTGGCCTACAAACCACGTGCTCTAGTCCTTGCTCACCCCAGGATGCGGACCACATGGCTCCCGTCCTAATTCAACAACGTTTTTGAAAACTAACAACAACACAATATATCAACACTTGCGAGGAAAAAAAAATAAATAGAAAGTCAACCTGCCGACAAATTCAAACACGTTACAAAACCAATCTCCTCGCTTCTCAACAAAGCACACCACCGACGCTAGCAAAGAAGCCCCCCTAAGCCTACTCTACTCCGGCTCTAACAAAATCCCTGTATCGAACCGCAAAAACTGTCATCCGATACTCCAAGAGCTCCACGTTGGGCAGCCAGTGTGGGGTCTCCGCGAGGTGAACGAGCGCATCGCCACGCCACGCTCTTGGAGTGAACGGACACCGCAGACGCGGTCGGTACAGCACCCAACATGCATACATTTATTAACTAATTTAGACGACGATATCGTCCGCCGAATATACATCAATTTTGATTAACACGCTACCATACAAACAACATAACGCAGTGACACACTAAACACACAATAACACGATAAACACACACTAACACATATCCAAGGTGGCGTCGCCAATGCCTGACTTTCCACGTGGGACCCCGGCGCGAAGCCCGCGGTGCCGAGCACCGGGGACCCATGCTACAGACAACCGTTGGCGGCAGCCGCCACGCGCAGAAGAGGCTCGCTCAACTCTCGCCCACCATCAAGGCCCGCCTTCCGCCAGCGGCCACCGCCGGCGCTACCACTCTACCAACAGCGGTACTCAAAGCGAAACAACGTCATCTATCGCCCGGCGGTGGTCACCACCGAAATAAAGCCTTGGGGCGAGACACGTGCGCCACGCGGCTCAGACAACTTTACAGGGGGGGGGTGTCAGCACGGCCACAGCACCAAACTAATGCTGCTGTCTGAGCCGTTATAGTGAGTAGACATTATTACCTAGAATTGGCTAGCATCGGCTAGCCAAATTCATGCTGCTGCGTTGACTGTTTGTTCCCAGTGTTATTACTATCACTCGTTGTTCAACCTACTGTCAGCTATCAGTAGTTTTACACGATTGTGCTGGTTGAACTTTAGTAATAATTGCAACTGAGAACGAAATGAAATCACTTGTAATCTTTGTAACAGCATAGCATCACTCACCGTGATAATGTGACAGCCACTTTCGGGGCCTTTAAGCATGTAGCTGTTGGTTAAGTTCTCATACTCTGTGTCTGTATCAAGATGGGTGCAGAATGAAAGAACGTTCATGTGCTATGTGTTGGGTGCACACTAAGAAACTGATGTTGTGTCTATTGTCTGTGAATTGCTTTTGGATGTTAAACCTTTTAATTCTAATGTACGCATAACCTGATGTTTTTTTTTCTTTATCTAACTCTTCTCTTTTCCTGCACTCTTTTCGTTCATTGCGCTCATTAGGCAGAGAAAGTGAAAGGCTGCCTGATCCACCTTGGAGATCGTCCACTGCAGATTACACTTCAGAGAGCATTGGCTGCATTGAGCGTCTGGCAGAAGCTGCGCCTGGCCTGGCACATGATCACAGCCAAAGAGCCAATCAGGTAAGCAAACTACTCTGCTTCTTTTAGATGCGAAGCAGCTTTTGAACAAGGCCTGTTCTCTGTCATGACATAGCCACACTCAGTACTTAGAGGGCCCACTAGATGGCTCTGCAGTAGATCGCTTGCTCATCTCAGGGACATGGAACCACCTCCGAACGATCCGGACTACGCGTGGGAATATTGTAATAGAACTGAAAGCAGCAGAAAGGGGGGTGGTATTGGGGCATTCATTCATAAAAGTACAGACTGGCAAAGGGTCAAACAGGAGTGCAAGGAACATTTATGGCTAAAAGGGAAAGTGCCAGGTCAAATGACACTCCTTGGTTTCGTGTACTTGTGGACGGGAGCAAAGGCCAGAGAGAAAAACCAGGCAATGGTAGAGTGTATATCAAAGGACATTCAGGAGTTAGGAAGAGAGTGCGAGATAATTATACTAGGAGACATGAATGTGCACATAGAAGATATAGATGGGTATACCGACCCGACAGGCAAAATAATCATAGATATGTGTGAAAGGCTTGATTTGATCATTTGCAACAGTACCGAGAAGTGTGAAGGGCAAATAACATGGGAGGTAGGAAGGCTGCAGTTGACGATAGATTATGCACTGATGTCACATAGGATGTATGATAAGCTCAGGGGAATGCACATAGATGAAGGTGGCTCCAGAAGTCTGGGTAGTGATCACAAACGTATCAAGCTAAGTTTTGGAAGAGCAGTGAAAGTGGGAAGGAGACAAGATGAGCAACTAAGGAAAATTTTTATCCAGAAAGGCAAATTGAAATAGCCACTAAACAAATTGAGAAAGTAATCACGGAGGATAATAAGACAGTGCAGACATACACGAATCTAATTAGACTCTTTGAGCTAGAGCTTGCTAAGACGCATGACAAGTCACCCCGGAAAAGAAGACACAAACCCAAAAGTTGGTGGGATGAGGAAGTTAAGAGAGCCATAGCAAAACGTCAGGAAGCCTCTAGGGAACACAGACATGCTAAGCAGCGGGGTGAACCGACAGATGATGTTGAATGAAAACGGGAAATATTTCTAAGCTCTAGAAGGGAAGCATCCCTCCTTTTCAATGAAAAGATTAGAGGAAAGGGTGCTCAGTGGCTGGCAGAAGTACATAAAAAGGACAGAAAGGCAGCTGCGAAATTTCGGAACCATCTAAACTCCCTAAGAAATGAGACGAGCCTAGAGCAGAGATTTATAACTACAGCCCAAGGTGCTAGGCTAGAAGGGGACGAAGCTATTGAATATATAAGAACAAAAGTGACAGAAAAATTTCAACAAAGAAGTACTTTATGCACCACAATAGACGAGGACGAATCAAGTGGTGCAATGGCTCCATTTTCACAACAAGAGTGGGAAAGGGCTGAGAAAAGGGTTCCTAGTAGTACATCAACAGGCCCAGATGGCATTCCAATTAGGCTGATAAAGACATTAGGTCCGAAGTCTAAGCAGGCTTTGAAAGAGGCAGTGAGCAAAACAATAATCGATGGTGAAGTCCCGATGGATGAATACTTAGCAGGATGAACATGATCTATAAAGGAAAGGGGGAAGAAGATGACATAAACAACTACCGTCATATAACAGTGACATCAGTGGTCTACAGGCTGGCGATGCAGATTTTAAAGGAAAGACAGAAGGCATGGATAGAGGATGAGGGGGTGCTGGGGGAACTGCAGAATGGCTCTCGGAAACCCAGGAGGTTGGAAGACAATCTATTCTCACTGACGCAGTGCATCGAAATAGCAGAAAAGGAACACAGGCCCCTGTGGCTAGCATTTTTGGATATCAAGAGAGCGTATGATAGCGTAGTTCAAGAGGAATTGTGGGGAATACTGGACACACTAGGTGTGGAACATGTTGTCACTAATCTTTTAAAGGATATCTATAAAGGTAACAAGGTAGTTATAAAGTGGGAAAAACAGGTATCCAAGCCTGCAGAGGTAAAACAGGGGCTTAGGCAGGGGTGTCTCCTGTCACCCTTATTATTCATGATGTACCTACAAGGATTAAAGGCCAAATTAGAGGGAAGTGGACTGGGCTTCAACCTCTCTTTAGTCAAACAAGGAAAACTCATTGATCAGGCACTACCAGCATTAATGTAGGCAGATGATATAGTGCTAATGGCCAACAACAAGGAAGATTTGCAGAGATTGATGGACATCTGCGGTAATGAGGGAGATTGGTTAGGTTTTAGATTCAGTAGGGAAAAATCAGCAGTCATGATTTTCAATGACAACGAAGGTAGTGAGCTTAGAATACAGGAGGTCACGCTAGAGATAACAGATAAATACGAATATCTGGGCGTATGGATAAGCAATGGGACCGAGTACCTGAGGGAACATGAAATATACGTGATGACTAAAGGTAACAGGAATGCAGCAGTGATGAAAAATAGGGCACTGTGGAATTACAATAGGTATGATGTTGTGAGAAGAATATGGAAAGGGGTCATGGTTCCTGGGCTGACGTTCGGCAATGCGGTCTTGTGCATGAGATCAGAAGTTCAAGCAAGATTAGAAATTAAGCAACGTGGAATAAGTAGGCTTGCTTTAGGAGCTCACGGGAATACACCAAATCAGGGAGTACAAGGTGATATGGGATGGACATCATTTGAGGGCAGGGAAGCTAGCAGCAAGATAAAATTTGAGAAGCAATTGAGAGAAATGGGGGAGGAGCGTTGGGCTAGAAAGGTTTTCAGCTACTTGTACATGAAGAATGTTGATACAAAATGGAGGAAGCGAATCAGGAAATTGACTGGTAAATACTTAGAAAACAGCAGGTGGCCAAACCAAAAAGAACTATCGGTTAAGAAGAAAGTGAAGGAAACGGAGACTGACATGTGGAGAATGGGCATGATTAAGAAGTCCGCACAAGAGATCTATCAAACTCTTAAGCAGGAAATTGCCAAGGAAAAGATCTATGATAATACTCGGGGTAGTTCTCTACTGTTTGAGGCCAGGACGGGAGTACTGCGAACCAAGACATATCGGGCCAAATACGAAGGGGTAGACACAGTATGCAGTGCGTGTGGAGAGGAAGAAGAAACTGCTGAACACTTGATAATGTTCTGTAAAGGGCTTCATCCTATAGTTCAGGATGATGGCGCAGAGTTTTTCAAAGCACTGGGGTGGACAGGGAGGGCAAAATAGACTTTAAGCGGGTAGACTTAACTAGAAGGAGGTTATCTGATTGGTGGCTAAAGTCAAGGCACGAGTGAAAATTAAACCCTTCACTGCAAAGTATGAATCCTCAAACTCACTTTTTAAAGAAAAAAAAATAAATCTAGTTTTTGGTTCATAAGTATTACGGCTTGGTGGCGATAGCCACCGCCTGATCTAAAGGGTACAGCCATATCCATCCATCCATTCATCCATGCTTCGTTTCACTCTAGCTTGTGGTGTGGTATGAGTAAACACCACTAGCGGCACTGCGCTGCTCTGTATAATGCAAGCGCTTCCTCCTCTCTTTCTCAAACACAAAATGTAGTAGTGTCAATGAAGACATTAGCATGAGTGTGATAGAGGCGAGGGCTTGCAAAGCAGCTGCAGCACGGCTGCACCGGCAAGATCCAGAGGCGTGAAGCTGAAGTGAGGCGTCAGTGCCGGCAAGCCGACCCTTAGGGTTCGTAGGGTCAACGGATCAACAGACGTTCTAGCTTGAGGTTGATACAGTCGAATACCTTTATAAGAGACACCAGTAAAATACGGGTTGATAAGAAAATGTATACAAGGGGCCCTGTTTATAAGAGACGTCTCATATAATAAAAGACAAGAACTGCTGACCGGAGCATGCCTCTTATAAAAGGCTTCAACTGTAATTTACAAAACTCAATCATAAACCTCTGTGGTGATGAATAAACAGCACCTCTTTACAGAACCTTAAGTCGACCCATGGCTCCTTCGCATACAACTTTGAGTTCCCTTTACGGGTAGATGTGTGTAATTTTTTTTACATTGAAAGCATCAAAGCCTCACATCACACCCCTCTTTTTATTGTGCTGTCTAAGATGGACATGTCTAGGTCCACCGAATAATTTCCTTGCAATGCCCACTCTGGCATCTTCAGTGCTTTGCATTCTAGGCATGGCAAACTTTACGCTTGAACTTCTAATCATGAGCCTGTGGTTTCTGACCTGAACCTCACTATCCAGTGAGCTAATGCTTTGAGCTGTTCTGTGTTTTGACAGCCTAAAAATTTACCTCCGCAATTGGTTACCTATCAGTTTGCTGTGTAAAAGCAGTCAGAATGTTTAGAACAGGTACACTACTCGTCGATTGCACCCCGCAGGGGCGCCTGTGCAAGTAGGCGTTTGGTGTGTAGCGACACCACGGACCCGAGCTAACGGGGGAGTTCCTACTCCCTCCCACGCCTAGCCGTGCGTGGCTTTGCCGTGTCCGGGGAAAAGGGGATCCTGGGGGTTGAGCCGACGCTGGGTGATTGGACCTTTAAGGCCCCCTGGCAGAGGCAACACACCCCTTTGGCCCCGGCTTCACGTAGACGGCACCCCTGGGCTGACCCACCCAGGGGAAATCGGCAGTAGCCTTTTCCTATCTCTCTCCGCCTACATCTTCGTCTTTATCTCTCACTATCTATCTGTCCTGTCTTCTACTCTCTTCTGTTTACTTCCAATTTTTCTGGCGGCAAGGGTTAACCCTGTGCAAATAGCCTACCTTGGTCTAGGCGCATTGGGTTATGGCAGTGTTGTACGGCTGACGTCTGCAAGCTTTCAGCACCTGTAAACTTGCAGCGTCCCCTTGTTGGGCTCCGTGGTGGGTGGCCGCCAACGCTGCTGAACAAAAATAAGACCGGCATGCAAGGCGCATTTCTTCTACTATCTGATCGTACCGGCCTAAAGCGGGTACGCACCGACGACATAAATCTCTTCAACCAGCCAATAGAAACTTTTCCCCACTTCCACGTCATTCACTGTGAAAAAACCGGAAAGCAAGCCAGGACCGTATCTCCTTTCGTAGTTGCCAGGTGTCTTA